GACAGCAGTACCTCATCCAGCAGAGACGACTTAAGGAGAAAGAAGCAGCAGCTGGTGCTAAGAAATAAAGGAAGGGGAGGACAATAGTAATTATATGATTTTGTTTAATAAGAAAATTGTTAATGATAACAAAACTGTGTGAAATACATATTGACAGCAAAAATATAGGACAGGCAGCATTGAGTCCGTGTCTCTAATTATGCATGCAAGGCTTAATTCTTAACATTTACAGTCTGTCCAAGATAGACAGATAAAGTAGCATACGAGTACAATAAATATAAGTAGCAATACATCTGTTTTGGTAAAATATCCATTCTTGTTTGTCCTTTCAGTGCCAGTACTATCAAAATCAGCTTCTCTTTTATACTTGCTTTGACGTGATAAAAAATCAGAGATAGCTTCACAAACCAAACCTAACTCGAAATCATCACAAACTTCAACAATCTTTCCCCATGTAACATTTTCATTCTTCTCTATCCACCTGTCAAAAACAAGGTAGAGTTTTGTTTCTATATCTAATGGACTATAAATCAGGTCATTGACTTCAACCTTTAATGCTACCCCAATGGTTACGAAACGATGTGCAGCTCGAAATTTAATGAATATTCTATGAAGATCGGAAATTTCTGGCTTCTTTTTAAGATCTGTTTGGAAACTTATATTAACTTTGTAAAATAATGTGATTACCTTGTGCATTAAATTGCGGTCCAGGGTTTATTTCAATGTCTCCAGAAATGAGGTGAATGACAGTGATAAACATCATAATGTGCATCATGTCATTAGCAAATCCATGCGAACAGCTAAGCAGCATTAAAATCATAATAACTGAGATGACATTGTATCTGATATTGTATTCTCTTTGAAGCAAAAGGCACGTTTTTATCTAAAAATTAAAATGATTATATTTATTATGGCCTGGCCTGTGGTTTACTAAAGCTTACTGCATGTAATATTATATCAATCAAAGATTCGCAATGAGACGATATAGGGCGATCAGAGTTGAATATGACATGGACATAATCTGAATGTTATAGAATTATATTGTTGATTGTACAGACTATATCATACCTGTCTCCAGTTGCTCCATTGACTCGGCTAGCAGACTTAACCGGCGAGCTATTGCCGCGGCAGCCTGAATCTTCTCCAATTGACCTTCGTTGTCTTGATCGAGGTCTCCATTGCTATTCTCTAAACGGCAGAGGGTTACTTTTTTGGAGCAGAAAAAGACATAATAAAGTAATAGATCCAGTTACCTTTAAATGAGTCAAGGCAGTTTACTCCATCAACGATTAGGTCCATAATGACCCCCACAAAAGCTACTGGCTCCTCGGCCAGTAGCTAAAACTATACTATTAGAAATCAATGAAGTCTAATGTATTAAGTAGTGTAGCCCGCCCACACAGGCAAACAAATTTGCACGAATATTTTTATTATCTTTCCTGTGAACGACGTTTCTGATTTGCCATTCCAGTGGCTCCAAAGTCCAAACAGTTGCAGACCTGGGAAAAGAATGATAAAGGTTGCAATTTTTCACTTTTGAGGCTATAACTGCTTGCTCTTCTTACAAAACAGCAGAAAGTGCATCGAACTCCATTGAAAACTGTGCAACAATACCTCCACATCGTGACAACAGTGGCCTGCAAGGTTGGACTCAAAAGTTTAGCATCCCTTCCAATTTATATACATTTCAATGTCAGATACAATCTAGATCTACATCATCTGTGGCTGTGCAACCATAGACATTACAATCCCGCAATAACCTCATCATGACAGCAACATTATGTCATCATGATCACTACAGTACGAATTAAATAGAAACTACATCTCAAAAATAATAATTGCAACTTCTATGTTTAATGAAAGCAAAAAATAATTCATAGCAAATTAGCAATATTGTTAATTTGTTATCTATATCTACTTTAATTATTCTGACAAAAACTTTTCAAGTTTGTCTTTTGCTTTGCCCAGTTGATCAGAATAATCATCACAAAGCTGCCTCAATGTATCCCAACTGATATCTTTATTGGAATCAAACCACCTCTC